GGAATCATCAGTGCCCTTGTTGTGCTGCTTGTGTCTCCGAGATTGGTGGTATCTTGCTGCCTATGATGTCAGTGCAGTGGTGGATGTCACCCTCAGGGTCACGAGCTACGAGCACCTCTGCTGCTTCTTAGGTTGCCTGGGTTACAGGTTGCCCCACTGCAGCAGGGCGGCATGGGGAGAGAGGAGCCAGAGCTGGGGTCATGGGCACCTGCACCATGTCTGGTTTGTTGGGTCTGCAGGCACTGCTACTGTGGTTGGGGGAGCAAAAATTGCAGGTGTCTCTGCAGCTTGGGAGGATCGGGGTTGTTGGCCCCATTGTCGCTGTTGTCTGGCATTGTCGCTGTTGTCTGGCTTTCCGTGATCTCTCGATGGCCTCAGGTGCTGCTGACACGTGTGCCCCGTGTACTGCTGCTCCTTGGGTTACCTGGGGATGCTGGGTTTGTGAGTGTCATCGCTGCTGCCATGTTGCCCAGGTTCATAGACACTACCACCACCACAAGGGGAGGAGTACCTGGGTAACGAGAGCTGCTGAGGCTTCTTAACTTCTGGTCTCCGGCACCTGCATGGTTCCTGCAACTTCAGGTCACTGGTACCACCACCACTACCAGGGACCCAGGGTGTTATATGCAGCACCCACCGTTGGCAGGGCCAGTGTCAGAGGCACTGCCGTCAGTGTGGGGGAGGGGGCTGGGTTACAGATATCATCACAGTTCCTGGAGCATCTGGTCACAGGCCTGCAGGGATTCCTGGTGCCTCCAGTAGCACAGACTACCTGGATTCCTTGGGCTTCCATTCATGTGCGTTACCTCATTTCTGGGAGCTGCTGGTGGCAGGTGCAGCCGCAGTTCTTGGAACGTCTGGTCTCAGGAGTTGCTGCCCTTGCTCCCCTGGTTCCATCATGTCCTGGAAGTCCATTCAACCCATCTTCAGGTGTATAGATGTATGAATGTCTCAGGCATTCTGATGGGCTGTGCAGTGAGTCCTTGGTTGCTCTCCGGATGTCATACTCATTGTAATGTGGAGGGGAGAGACACAGGAAACAACTCAATCACTGTGATGCTCACATCACTCCAAAGGTTATTGGTTTTTAATGAAAAGAAGTTGATCTTCAAATAAAGAATGTTAAAAGACAATTTAAGAAACATGAAGGAGGCCTATGGAAGAAATGAATAAATATAAAAAGCAATTGGGGGCCGGCCCAGTGGCTTAGTGGTTACTGGTGGCCCAGGTTCGGATCCTGGGCGCACACCAACGCACCACTTCTCTGGCCATGCTGAGGCCACGTCCCACATACAGCAACTAGAAGAATGTGCAACTATGACATAGGATTATCCACTGGGGTTTTGGGGAAAAAAAGGAGGAGGATTGGCAATAGATGTTAGCTCAGAGCCGGTCTACCTCAGCAAAAAGAGGAGGATTAGCACAGATGTTAGCTCAGGGCTGATCTTCCTCACACACACACAAAAAAAAGCAATTGGGTGAAAAATGGGATGGAGGAGTAAAATTAAAAGGTGGTCATCTGAAAAGACTCATAAAATAGACAAATGCTGGGGAAAGGATGATATGGCTTTATGGCTTTGCCCCCTCCCCAAGGCCAGGGTAGAGTGCAGACTTGATTTGAGTGTTTCCAACCAAGATCTGTGGCAACTTCCTAGTACTTCAATGTATTCTGAGTTCTTTTGTAAAAACTTTGACATCTTTTTTCTGATCTTTTAGGATCAGATGTGGAAGACCTCATGATTATTTCCCTTTTCTTCCATTTTTGGTATATGTTACTGCTCTCAACTGAGTGCTTAGAACAGGGACGTAAGTTCTTCATTATTTGCTGAAAGAATAAATAAGACAGCATTAAGAACTTAACAGGAGGCCGGCCCTGTGGCTTGGTGGTTAAGTGCGCGCGCTGCGATGCTGGTGGCCCGGGTTCGGATCCCGGGTGCGCATCAAGGCACCACTTCTCCGTTCATCCTGGGGCCGAGTCCCACATGCAGCAACTGGAAGGATGTGCAGCTACGACACACAACTATCCACTGGGGCTTTGGGGGGAAAAATAAAAATTCCCCCCCAAAAAAAAGTTCTTTTTTTTTTTTTTTTTTTTTTTTTAAAGATTTTAACAGGAGATTCAGAGCTTCAGACTTCTCCAACATTCATCAGGGGAAGCTCAAGAGTGTTTCTTCCCTTTATATGCCCAGGAGCAGTCTCAAGCATTGCCATCAGGTAGAATGTGTAGATCATGTATATAATGAAAATATTTAGTTAAGCAGGTAAGCAATACAAAGAAATTGAGATATTTTGCATTATTATCTATAGTTGAAGTGTTCTAAATTCACTGGACATTTTTTATTAGATACACTTGATACGTGTATTGATCACACAGAATTTAGAGTTGAAAGAGTAGATGCAGATACACAACTTGTTCCAAATGTATAGGTGAGCTATAAGCTCCTAGTGAGACATCTGGTACAGATGGGCTTCAGTAAATGACAATTGATGTTACTGATACTAACGTATAGGGCATACTGTTTTAGTAGCTTTTAGGTTCTCCTTGCACAATATAGAGTCCTTTGACTCTGGAGCAGTCATGCTGCTGGTTTATCTAGGAGGAGCTTAAGTGGGCCAGAGAATGCTGTTCTCTAAGTCAGCTCCTGGTATATATGCATTAGGGAGAGTGGCTGCATAATCTCATTGATGAATTTTATTGCCTTGAATAATGAGTCATATTCCTCAGGGCTTAAGTTTCCTACTCTGTAAAATGAAATGATTATGCTTTTCCTGATGGGCAGCATGGTTCACAATGCTCTTTTCTAACTCCTGGTGAGACAGGGCTCCTCTGGCATTTGATGGCAGTCATGTGTATTTGGGTGAGATTTCTTGAGAGTGCAGGGATATTTGGGAATTTCAAACTAGAATGGACTGACTTTCAGGCAGGTGAATTATGGTCATCTCTGGGGCCTCATGCTTTCTTTTCTCCTAGGTCTTCTTTCTAAGGACCCTTTCTGCCTTCCTGAGGAAGAGATAGAGGCAGAAAAGATGGTGACTGACAGTTTGAAAAATTATTCTCAGGTAATTAGAAAGTGTATCATTCTACTAAATGCCATTGCATCCACCAGTTAAACACATTTCCTCCTAGGTAGATCTGTCTCCAGAGTTTCTAAAGAAATAAAACCACTCAAAGACTGAACACCTGTTGATTTCCTTCCCAAAGTAGAGCCTCTCATGTTGTTTCCCGTGAATATTCTCAGTATTTTGATAATTGCCTGCTAATATTGTCTCTCATGATGGTGACTTCGTATTTTTTTTTGTTTTGCTGCCTGCTCTTTCGTGGTAATGAGGATGAAAGTGTGCATTTCTCAAAGGATTTATTCATTCTTCAGCTTTTACAAGTGTCTACAATTTGCTTAGCACTGTGCTGCAAGAGGGAAATAAGAGAAGAGCTTTTAGTCTAGTTGTGGTGAGATAAGTTCACATGTTAGAGGTTCCATTAAAGCCATAACTAGAAGACATCTGCAGTGAGTGAGTGCAGATAGAGAGACTAGTACTTAGGAGCATTGCACCCTGGGGGAGATGGTGAGAGACCTTGAAATCCTTTGTTGCCATTCGGTCTCCCATCTTCATTCCCTGGTGAACACTGGTGGACATGTTACTTTACTGAAGCCACCTTGTATGTGATGGTTTAGGACTCAGTTACCTTCGCTGATGTGGCTGTGCGCTTCGCCCAAGAGGAGTGGACTCTACTGGACCCATCTCAGAAAAATCTATACAGAGATGTCATGCTGGAGAACTACAAGAACCTGACCGCAGTAGGTAAGGCTGCCGTCGTTCCTGTAGCCTTTTATGGAGCAGATACATATGATGTATTTACTCTATTCTTGTAGTGGTGATGTGAAATCTGCAGACATTTGAAACTGTGAGACACTAGTCTGTATACTAATGGGTTTTAATCCAGTGTGGTTTCTGAAAAATGTGCTTCCAGGACCAAGACCATCCCTGTCACTCTCTTAGAAATGTGTCTTCACAACTCCACTTTTGACATAGTGAATGAAACTCTGATATTGGGCCCAGACATCTGTGTTTTAAGGAAAATGCTTGACATGATTCTGATTGACAGCAAAGTTTCACAATCACTGGTGTAGTGGTTTCTCCATGAGAATGAACATCTCTTTTTGCACTTACTTTATTTTCTCTTTCAATAAATGTCTTAATGTTTTGTAATGTGTATATACATATCTGATCATGGGCTTCAGGGGCCAGAGATAACCCATCCGTCTTATGCACAGAAAGAGGAGATGTTTGCATTTTTATCTCTTTTGAAATAATTAACTGCATTCACCAGAAATATAGGAGCTGATTCATGGGAAAGTTTGTTGTCTTTTGCAGGGACTCTTCTGTTAATATATCTTTCCCTGTGTACAGGGTATCAGTTTTTCAAACCCAATCTGATCTCTTGGTTAGAAGAAGAGGAGTTGAGGACAGTGGAGAGAGGATTCTTCCAAGGTGAGTGAGTGTGAAGAATTTCCCTGGTCAATGAAAATTTCACTATGTTTGGAAACTTTTAATGAGGAAACTTTTAAGATGTGCTTTCTCTAGAAGGCTGCGGTCATTGGTTTCTGATGCTTTGGGATGTTTTCAACTTCTCATATGTTCTTTACATTTACTCATAATTTCCTTTGATCTCACAAAATTACTTGTTCTGTTTCTTTCCTAACTGTATCATTTTGGTATATGTGCTTTGTCCAGAAATTTTCTATTTCCTTTCTCTCATAGTATTCTCTTTTCCCGATCATATTTAATTTTCATAGACTTGTTTTAATCAACTACTGTATTGTGGCTACACATCCTTATCATTGCAAATTTTTGACATAGCCAAAGTTGTCAAATCTGTCTTGCCTTTTTTTTAGTATGTTTAATTTAAAAATAACACAAAGGAGCCTTATTGTTTGTAACTCCTTCAATATACCTTTCTTTCTGCCAACTCCTACATTTGTTATTTTGTTTTATTTTAGAATGGGAAATGCAACTTAAAAGCAAAGACTCAGCAATTCAGCAGGATATTTTGGGGGAAAAAACACCCAATAGGATACAAATGGTAAGATCATTAAGTTTGAAGGAGAAATTTCTTCTTTTCCATGTTCAGAAAAGATTGAGATTTTCATTAGCTAGAACATGAGCACAAGTGATAGATATTTGAGATGCATGGGATTCACCCAAGAGAGAGCAATTTCTCTGTAGAGATGCTCTGAATATAATGAATTTGGGAATATTTTAAACCTAGCTTGAAACTTGCTTCTGAATTCACACAAGGACTCATTATAACTTATATAAGTAGATATTGTGTTTTTAATACAATTCCATGAAACTGTTTGGGAATCTTTTAAGATTAAAGTAGACGGCATATCATTGTGAGGATTCTTTCATTCAAGCTGAAAGAAATCAACAGAGTAGGAAGCATATGAATGTAATGGAAATGATAAAAATCATCATCATCATCATCATAATGATGTTTCTGTTTTGAGATGGGTAGGATCAGTTAATGAGTCTGAGAAACCTATGAATCATCATTCTTCCATTCATCAACAGGAAAGAATCCACAGTCGGTGGGAACTCTTTGATTGTGAGCAATGTGGGAAAGTCTTCAGTGAACATTCATGCCTTAAGACACACAGGAGAACTCAGAATGGAGCGAAAACTCATGATGATAATCAGCATGAAAAATGCTTCCTTGCTCTGCACAAGAAAACGTCTACTGGAGAGAAACTTTCCAAGTTTAATCAGTGGGGAAAAGCCATCAGCCCAACTCCAGATTTAGTGTACTGGAAAACTAGCATACAAGGAAAAGCCTTCAAATGCAGTGACAGTGAGAAGGCCTTTGTTAATCAGTCTTACCTTCAGGCCCAAATGAGAACTCAAAATGAAGAAAAACTCTATGAATGGAAGGAATGTGGGAGATCTTTTATTCACTCCAGAGATGTTGATGTGCATGTACAAACTCACACTGGTAACAGTCATTACGAATGTAAAGAATGCGGAAAATCCTTTAAACAATCTGCATGCCTTAATGATCATGTTAAATTTCACAGTGAAAGAAAACCCTTTAAATGTAAGGAATGTGGGAAAGACTTTATTAAGTCTTTGGAACTTACTGAACATATAAAGACACACATTGGAAAGAAGGCTGTTCTATGTGAGGTATGTGGAAAATCGTTTAAAAGTTCCTCATACCTTCATGTTCACAATCGGACTTATGCTGGAATACAACCCTACAAATGTAAGAAATCTGAGAAAGGCTTTAAACGTTCTGTTCATCTTAACGTTCACATGCAGAATCAAACTGGACAAAAACCTTGTGACTGTAAGGAATGTGGGAAATCCTTCACTCAATTCTTACGCCTTACTGAACATATAAAAACTCACACTGGAGAGAAGCCTTTTCAATGTGACAAATGTGGGAACGTCTTTGCCACTTCCTCACATCTTACTAAACATTTAAAATTTCATACTGGAGAGAAGCGTTTTGAGTGTAATATATGTGGGAAAAGATTTACCACTTCCTCGTACTTAACCATTCACAAGCGTACTCACACTGGAGAGAAACCCTATAAATGTAAGGAATGTGGAAAAGGTTTTAAATGTTCTTTGCACCTTAAAGTTCACCTGCGAACCCACACTGGAGAGAAACCCTATGGATGTAAGGAATGTGGAAAAGCCTTCGCTCAATCCTCAGGCCTTATTCACCATATAAAAACTCATACTGGAGAGAAGCCTTTTAAATGTGACACTTGTGGGAAAGCCTTTGCTCTTGCCTCACATCGAAACAGACATTTTAGAACTCATACTAGACAGGCGTCTTTTGAGTGTAATATATGTGGGAAAATATTTAGCAGTTTTTTATACTTTATCATTCACAAGCGTACTCATACTGGAGAGAAACCGTACAAATGTAAAGAATGTGGAATAGGCTTTAAATGTTCTGTGCATCTTAACATTCACATGCGAACCCACACTAGAAAGAAACTCTATGAATGTAAGGAATGTGGGAAAGCCTTTATTCAATCCTCAGGCCTTACTGCCCATCTAAAAACTCACACTGGAGAGAAGCTTTTTAAATGTGACACATGTGGGAAAGCCTTTGCTAGTTCCTCAAAACGCACTAACCATTTTAGAACTCACACTGGAGAGAAGCCTTTTGTGTGTAATGTATGTCGGAAAACATTTAGCAGTTCTTCATCCTTAATCATTCACAGTCGTACTCATACTGGGGAGAAACCCTATGAATGTATGAAGTGTGGAAAAGGCTTTAAACGATCTGTTCACCTTAACATTCATATGCGAACCCACACTGGAGAGAAACCCTATGAATGTAAGGAATGTGGGAAAGCCTTCACTCAGTCCTCGGGCCTTACTGAACATATAAAAACTCATACTGGAGAGAAGCCTTTTAAATGTGACACATGTGGGAAAGCCTTTGCTCTTTCCTCATATCGTAACAGACATTTTAGAACTCATACTGGACAGAAGTCTTTTGAGTGTAACGTATGTGGGAAAGCATTTAGCAGTTCTTCATATATTACTATTCACAAGCGCACTCACACTGGAGAGAAACCTTATAAATGTAAGGATTGTGAGAAGGCCTTCACTCACTCCGCTGGCCTTATTTACCATATTAAAATTCACACCAGAGAGAAGCATTTTAAATGTGACTCATGTGGGAAAGCCTTTGCTACTTCCTCACATCTTACTACCCATTTTAGAACTCACACTGGAGAGAAGCCTTTTGAGTGTAATATATGTGGGAAAACATATGCGACTTCTTCAAACTTCATCATTCACAAGCGTATTCATACTGGAGAGAAACCTTATAAATGTAAGGAATGTGGAAGAGCCTTCACTCAATCCTCAGGCCTCATTGACCACAATAAAATTCACACTGGAGAGAAGCCTTTTAAATGTGACACATGTGGCAAAGCATTTACTACTTCCTCACATCTTAGTAAACATTTTAGAACGCACACTGGAGAGAAGCGTTTTGAATGTAATATTTGTGGGAAAAGATTCACCAGTTCTTCATACTTTGTTATTCACAAGCGTACTCACACTGGAGTGAAACCTTAGAAATGTGAAGAATGTGGGAAAGCCATCAATTTCCCCACTTTTGGCATCAAGAAATAACTCAACCTGGAGAGAAATCTTATTGACGTAAGCAATGTAAAGCCCTCAGTAGTCTCAATTCACTTTGAAGACGTGAAAGGACCACACTGCAGATATGCTCCACAGATGTAAGGAATGCTGGAAAGCCATCAGAATCTCATCACAACCCAGCATGTAAGGACTCAATTTGAACTCATACTATTAAGAAATATGGAAAGCCATTCCCTATTTCTTCAGTTAAATGTATATTTCTTATATATGAGGGACCTTGTAGTGGAGAGAAATCCAACTGATGTAAGATATGTGGGAAAATTGTTGGTTTGGTAATGTTGACTTGTGATCTTGCTGTGGAGAAAACCTTATGAATGTCAGAAATGTAGTGTCATCAGCACTTCTCTTAGATTGTTTGTCATCCTTAACAAACATGGGGTGATGCACAGTCATGAGAAACTGAAATAGGAAATATGGGTAAAGCCACCCTGAGTATGAATCTTGGGGTGTTCTGAGATGCATAGCATTCTGGGTGGCTCTGTGAATCTGTTTTATGCATTTTTGATTAGCCCCTGGCCATTTCTGTGTATTTTGTGTCTTTCTTTCTGCCGATAGGCCAGTCTATTTGCTACATCTTCCAGGTTGAAACCTCGTCAAAAGTGAGTCTGTAGGATTCACAATCTTTTTCTAACCACCTGGATTCTCGTGTAACATTGACATGGTCTTACTTTGGGAAAACAGTGACTGCTAAACTGTGTGCAGTGCTCGCTGAACTCATTTACAGTGAGCCACACAGGCCATGGCAGAGGTTAAAATATGTCTCTGTAAATTTTGTAAGCTTATCTTGTCCCTCTCACACCTGATCGTTTTAGAATAAAAAGACAATCAATGTTAAGCATGGGATGAGTGGGGAAAACTGAGATTATGCCTACAATGTGTGCCACCCTGATTTCATCACTTCTGTGAGTGCACCACAACCTCATCATCTAGGGGGATCTTTAAGCTCAAGCTGTCCAAGAAGATAGAATAATAAATCTTCTCTTTCATCCCTACACCCAACACCACAGCCTGGGGAAATAGTCATATTTGTCTGCGTCAAGAAACACCTGTTTCTGGTGATATGAACTGCTTCTGTTTTTATCATTCTATCCATGGGCTGCAGAAATAGAAAAACTCAAGGAAATATACCTGATCCTGCTGTGCTTCATGCCCTCACTGGCAGTTCCTGAATGTGGACCTTAGATGTAGACAGACCAGCACTACCTCATTTCAGCTTCAGTGATACAAATTCAACATAGTTTGGATGCTCAGCAGCCTTGGTTATGTCAGGTATGGCCATCAGGCATGCAAGTGCTTGATGACACTTTTTTGAGTCTTAAGACACTGTATGATAATCTAAATCAAGCTTAACAGTAAATCCTGAACAAGAATGCTCTGTGCATGTTTGTGTTACATGTTTGTATGTGGAGGAGCATGTCATGTTGTGGTTCACTGTTGGGTATGTATATTGTTATTTAGCCCGTCTGTTGCCCCCTTTAATTATTGGCAACAACACCAAAGATCTAGTAGAATTGTCTTAACCTTTTGTGTGTAGTTTAAAGGTCATAGGTTGGCCTTAGATGAGATCCTAATTGCCTGAAATAAGATCTGTGGATCCTCCCAGAATTTGTCATTGTTGCCTCAGTCTAAGAGCTTGTGGGTAGTGTTTGAGGTCACTCCTGCAGATTGGCCTCATTCTGCTGCTTGCACTCCTAATGCCAGCATCCTCAGTAAGTCCTGTTCAAGAAAAATGGAGCAGATCTGGTCCCTGCTTTTGTTGGTCAGTGGCTGGCTGATAAAGCAGCATATTCTTGTGAAAAAACTCCAAAGCCAAAATGATGTGACCCATATATGCTCCAAAACAGATGAGACTTAAAAAACATTCTAAGTGAAAAGAATCTATTGATAAAAGATTGTATGATTTCATTTATATGAAGTGTCTAGAAAATGTGAGTGTCTAGAAAATGTGAATCTTAGAGAGAGAAAGGAAATCCTGTTCACCTAGATATGAAGAGAGAAGGCAAATGGGGGATATGGCAGCCAAATGCTGCCTTTGAAGTGATGAAGTAGTTCTAAAATTGTGATGTTACAGAAGTCTGTGCATATACTAAACAACATTGAATTGTATAGGTTTAAATGGGTGAATTGTGTGGTATGTGAATTATATCTGAATAAACCTGTTCCAAGAAACAAAGAGATTATGATAGTACCTACACCATTGGGTATGAGCATAATAAATGTCTGAAGCATCTAGCATCATAACAGGCAGCAAAAAGCTTATCATATTTTTGTCACTAAACAGTAAAACAATATAAAGCTATTATAATCAAATGATATGATATGGGCATACATAAATATATTACTCTACAGAAGAGTCTAGGTATGAATACAGGTATATATAGTAACTTATTTAATAAGGAATTTCTAATCAGTAGGTCAAGGATACTTTATCAGTGAGTACTAGTACAAAAATTGGCCTTCCTTTGGAGGAAGAAAACTTGGATCAAGCACCCCCCACCACATACCAAAATGCATTGGATAAGGATTAAAGATTTAAATATCTTTAAAGCAGTAAATTTCAGAAGAAAATTATGAAATATCCATATAATGTAGCATTTGGAGAGACGTTTTAAGGCAAAGCAGGAAATCCAGAAACTTACAAAACAGACTCCTTTGGGTACATAAACATTTAATATTTTGTACAGCAACAGATTAAACATTAACATAGCAGAATAGTTATGAATTCAATAGATGCATAAAGTATGTTTGATAATGTCCGTAAAGAAGTCTTGATAAAAATGTATTAGTATATCAGGATTTTAAAAGATCCTTATTACTCCACCACGGCCACCCACTGAAATCCACAACAAACAGGATTACTAGAGAAACTTGAGAACCATAACTAAGTGAAGAATTGCTAGTATTCGTGCTATTTCACAGCATAGTATAGGAGGCCCTGGACTATATGGTAAAATCAGAAAAATGAAAACAAATAGTTATTTGGAGAAGATTTATAGAAAAATGTTATATTAAAAACGCAAAGGAATCAATGATTAGAGTTTATCATGGTGTCCAATGTACATAAAAAGAAATAAGAGAAAATAAAGACCTAAGGATAGGATTGATTCAATGGAGGAAACAGCCTACTTCATGGATTGTCAGGCACATCATTACCGGAGAATCATTGTAAGGGCTCTAGGATAGTGAGGCGAAGCAGGTAGAAAAGCTTTTGATGAACATTCCCACCTCCAACCACGACCCGCATGTGCACCCCGTCGTCCGCCCGTAGCTCGCACTACAGGCCTGGTTCTAGCTTCAACTTTGTTTAGGGCTGTTTCTGTCCCCAGCCCCCGCGCTGGGCTCACCTCTGCTCGTCGCCACGAGAATTTCTCAGTCTGAAGTGGTTTATGTTGGCTGACAGCCTGAGCCTCAGAGCTCTGCTCCTTCTGACCCCAGGCAGGAAGCGGAAGTGTGGTCACTTGTTCACTGGGACTTTTCTCCTGCTTACTTCCGGTATCTTGGAAACTTGCACGTTAGTGGTGGGCTGACCCAGCCCGGGTTTGGTGAGGCCAGCAAGGAACGGGAAGGATATGGGGCTTGAAGGAGGGAGTCACAAGGCATGTTTGGTCCTGGCAGCCGAGGGACCCCCTTATAGAGTCCTGGAGTGTGCCTCTCACTTCCACTGGGGCCCAGGGGCCTCCCAGTACGTCAGGTCCCAGAACCTGTTCAGGAGTTTGTTCCCCTCGAAGATTTGAGGTGGAAAATGTAAGCGCGCCTGCGGGGTCTCCATCCACTGTGCTTCCCTCTTCAAAAGCCTCCAAAACACCTTTGATGTCTTGTCTCCAGAAGGAAAAGAATTTCCACTGTTGAAGTGAGGTTGACTCAGCCCCCACATCCTCCAGTCCTCACAGTTCTAGCAATTCTGGCCTATTTGGGCAAGCACTGGGTAAATGTTGGTTCCAGAGGGCCTCTGTTTCCTTTTGTATGCAAAAGAATGTTTCATCTGGGAATTTGGTTTTTGTCTTGGCGCATCCTTCATTTATTTTTGACACATTTCATCGTAGAAAGATACTGTCTTAGATGTCTATGATGTGCGTATTTTTGGGTATAAATATAATCGTATATAGACAACAATTCTTTCTAATAAAGAAAAACAAGAATACTCACCTATCTCTTCATCTGAACTTCCTAGGCCTGTACATCTCCATAGAGCTTCAAAACAAGGGCCTCCAGGACAAAAAGAAGGAGACTTTATTATACTATTTCTAGAATAATTGAATTTACCAACACAGCATGTTTGGACTAAGTGTAGTTTTTCCACATTCTTTTCTTGAAAAATCTCAAACCTAAGAAAATTTGAACATCCAGTACAATACACAATCTGATGTATAAATTTGATATCAGCAGTAAAACCCCAAGCACTTTGAGGTCCTTCTTTTTATGGACAGGTATTTCTGATAGGGTCTCTCCCAGAGGCACTGTCAGCCAAACTGGATGTAAACTTATTTTACCCCAGATCTCTGGTCTGAGTGGCTCTATTTAAAACTAATAATAATTCCCCATTCTTTTTTTTTTTTTTTTTGGTGAGGAAGATTGGCCCTAAGCTAACATTCATTGCCAATCTTCTTTTTGCTGAAGAATATTAGCCCTGAGCTAACATCTGTGCCCATCTTCCTCTGTTTTGTATATGGGATGCTGCTGCAGCATGGCTTGATGAGCAGTGCGTGGGTCCTCGCCTGGGATCTGAACCTGTGAACCCCACGCCACTGAAGTGGAGCATGCAAACTTAACCACTACATCATTGGGGCGGCCCCCCCCATTCACTTTTTTTATATGGTAGAATATCCGTAACTTAAAATTAGCTGATTAGGCAGACTCAGCTGATTAGGCAGACTCAGTGACATGTGCACTCACATTGTTGTGAAACCATCACCATGATCCATCTTCTGAACTGTTTCAGAGTTGTGGTTGTGCTGTTGTGG